GGAACTTTGATTTTATTGGAATGCAATGACATTTGCTTTGTTTGTTTGTCTTCAGCAAGCTTTGTTTCTGCAAACAAAGAGAAAAGCAAGTTTTTTTTCTTGATGCTCAAAGATTATGAAAATGTGTCTTGCCATTGAGGAGCAATATGGCCTTTCATATCTCATAAAATTCAACAATGTGAGCAGCTCAGTATGTTCTGGCAAACTTGAGTTCAGCATCTTCTTAGCACCATCTATAAACATAGCATCTAAATTCGTAAAACGTCAACCATGTATGCCTAAAATTTGTAAGCTAATAAGTTTCGCGCATGCTACTTCATTGAACATAAATTGTGGAAAGTACAATAAGCAAATTTTTTCGTCTAATAACTTCCCACACTTCATGTATCCTGTAGTTCACCACTTTTAATGTTTTTATACTTCCAATTCCGTAATCTCCCTTATTTTTACATGTAGCTGCTAATGCATAGTATCTTTGCCCTTACTAGAGGGATATGCGCGCTTTACATGAGGGTTTCATGAAACGATTATAGAAGAGGCAGAGGGAAGAAGCACTTTGTGCGAATACTAGGAATTATACCATCAAAGAATCCAAAGTTAAAAACTAGCATTTCTTGACAGCTTGGCAACGACGGAGGTCTGGAAAAATATACAGGAATATAAATGCTATTTAGTACAGAGTTGAAGTAATTCATTTTTGGAAAAAATGAACACGTAGAAGCCTTGACAGATTATCTCATCCTGTTTCTCGTATAAGCCGTAGCTTTTACCTAATATCCTCGCAACCAATAAGCATAATGCGAGATCTTTAGCATTGTAACGAGGTTATTGAAAAGTGACTTATATACTTGTAACTAACAAGACTTTTTGAATGTTAATCTCTGCACGAGCATGTCTCCAATTATAACGGTCATTCAACGTTTTTCTAAATAAATTAGATGATTTTGTAATCGAAACATCTTTAAAGCCATTATGATGTTTTATTGGCTTTTAATGCAAAACACTGGAGAGATGCCCTCAGAAACTGCATTGAACGTTTTACAAATTTTCTCCTAATAGAGATAGACTGCACACAACGAAGCGCCTCTACAGCATATAGCGTTGGCACAGAACTTGTTATGAGGTGTTCAGGTGTTTGATAAATTTAAATGAAGCTATCAAGATCACAGTTAAAATTGTCCCAGAAAGGCTGTTAGCAGCGCGCTCACGAAACATCGTATTTTCGGAAAGCTCGTTAGATTCTTCAGGGATTGTGGGCCTGGTTCCCTGTCTGTTACAAACTTCATCAAGTTGGATCTCACGAAAGAATACGCTGTGTTCAAAACAACTCTATGGTTACATGGGTAAAAACGGCTCGAGATTGCAGAGTCTTACAAAAGATGAAAACAAGAACTTTCGATGTGCATGTTGTAAATCTCTTGCTATTTTGCAGAAAAAGTGAGTCTTTCTAATAGTAACGGTCATATGAAATTCCATGGAATTGAAATTTAAACTTATACTTCGTGTGACCTTTTACTTTTTGAACAGGTCACTAAGTTAGCGAGGGTTAATTGCGAATATTAGCTTACTCCAGATGCTGACTTCGACAGCTCAGCTTGGTGAGATTTTGATGCGATAATTTGCATAGATGATACTTTTCTGAAAAGTATAAGTAAAAAGAGAGGGAATTTAACCCGAATGAATTTAGCCCGTACAGATGAGCATGGGCTTGTGACTGTTTATACCTATGTAAATAAAGTAGTTAAAGAGGGTCTTTAATGGGACTTGCTCACATTCGAAGATAGATTTTATCGAATCAAGCAAGATCCGCGAAATGGCCTGTGTAGTGCTGTGCATAACAATGATGCTATTTTTAACAGGTATTGCATAATACAAACTGCTAGAGATTATAAATTTGGTGATAAAAACGTGTCTCTTAGCCCCTGAAATTATCGAATAAAGGTTTTATTTTCCAATCAATTTACATTTTGAAAACGATCTACCCGGAGAAAGCGAGGTTGGCGATAAATCGTCTCTCTACCCCAAGTTAGCTGTGATATCTAAAATTTGTGAAATGATGTCGAAAGCGTTTGCCTTCTGAACCACTTTAATTCGAAGAAGAAATCATTTTAAGCTAAAAAACTACAATATTTTGTTATATAGTCGTCCGATGAAAAAAGGACCTATTTTCTAAACGACAGATAGAAGTTTTCCCAGACGAACACCTTTACGTTTGTCTATTTTGTTAGTTTTGAGGTAGTGTCCAGACAAACAATTTTTGACTCCTAACTTTTTACCTTTTCTTGACTTTCAATGTGCTGAAGACGAATAGCAGCTTTATTCATCGTAAAAGTACTGTCAAAAAGCAGAGTCCGGGTTTTTTTAGCTGAATGGGACGGGTGATAGAGGAATTACGATTCAAACTGCGACTTCTGCTCTCGAAACGATCGCATGCTTTTCCTGCTAGAGAGCTCTGCTTTTTAGAGCAGGCGAACACGGGCGGGGCTGAGGAGGAGGTCACTTATTGGGGGAGGAGTGCCTAAGAGGGACGGCTGATCTGATTTGGAGTGATTTTCTCACTCCCTACGGCGAATAATTTGCCTGAAATGAGGAATAGCTTAGTCACAGAGTCAGCTATCGTCGTCGTTAAAAACTTAAAGTACTCAGTTTTGCCGGATACTTTCCTTAAGGGAAGGCCTCACAATGATTGAGACCAACGAGCGCATTCGAAGAAAGTAATCATAATTCGAATTCTTAAGTACGATTATTTGTATGTTCAAAAATGCGATTATACTATTATATCAGTGATCTGTTTAAAAAAGTCATTTTAATCTACGAATTCGAGTAGTTTCAA